CCCGGGAATTCCTCCTGCCAATGTCGGGCAAAGTCCGCCCGAGCCGCCGCCGTCGCCTCCTCGCCCGCTGCCATCCCCGGGCTTCCCCGCCGCCTTCCTCCTCCTCCTCCTCCTCCTCCTCCTCCTCCTCCTCCTTCCGCCCCCCACCACCGCCGCGGGCCCTGACGTCGGCTCCCGCCCGGCCCCTCCGGCCCGCCCCCGGCCGCTCCTCCTCGGCACGGCCCCGACGGGGCGGGGGCACCGCTACCACCTCCCTCTGGCACCTCCCGGCCCGACTCTCTGCAGCCGGATCTCGGCGTCCATTCCTGGAACACGGGAGGAAGCCACCCCCAGGTCAAAGGAACCTCTCTGAGGTAGCGGTGCCAGCATAGCACTCTTGTACCAGCAGCCTTTCTTGCTCGAGGTGCAACCTGGGGTCTCCCAAGGAGCTCCTGACGTGTTAGGAGGATGCTGAGAGGGTCGTGTACCTGCAGCTGGTCCGAGCCCTTCCTGGTGAGGGTCCACCTTGGAGCTCCTGGCATGTGCCAGGAGGATGCTGAGTGCTGAGATGAGGCGGTGCCTGCTGCCAGCAGCATCAGAGCAGCGAACCAAGTGGCACAAACCATCCCACGCACTGCAAAGAGCTGCTTCTCAGCCAGCAAGAAGTGAGCCTCAGTGGCACTGAGTAGTGGAAGCTGCCCTATCCCAGCGCACGTGCCAGGCTTATGGCTATCAGCATCCCCAGGCTGGTGGTGCTCTGGTGATAACACCTGGCACGATGGCACTCTGATAGTGACACCTGGCTTCTTATCAGTGACAGTGACACCTGGCTTGATGCACAGTGCTTTGCTCCCCACGCCTCACACAGGAATGGTGTTTCCCTTTCGCCAGAGGAGGGAAGTGTAAGTGACTCAGGGTGGTGATTCACAGCCTGTGTCCCTTGTTGCCACCTGGCTGTGGCCCAGCAGGAAGAAAGCACCCTATTCATTTACGTATGATCCCAGGAAGTGTTGCAACAGCCACCTCCTCCATCCCCAGAGTGGCTGCTCCTGTCCCCACGGTGGTTGCTCCCATGGGGAGGGTTTTGGGGCTCCTCTTGGCACAGCCTCCCCTTGGGGATTTTGGGAGTTGGGGCCAGTGACAGAAGTGACACTGGAGCCCAGGTGAGGACAGTGCCCAAATATAATGCCCTGTTCCATGCTGGAAAGACAGCCCATCCCCAGTGCTGAGACCCTCTCAGGAGGTGGAGGGGGAGAAGGAGGGGGTGTTGTGAGCGACTGATTTATGTGTGGCGACAGAAAATTACAGCCCTTCCATCACCTGTCATGCAGACGGCCCAGCAGAGCTTTACATTGCATTTCTGGCTGCCCATCCCAACCCATAAATCTCCCCAGTGCAAAGCAATAAATCAGGGGGGCTGAGGGAGCAGCCCCAGGCAGGTGTCCCTCCCCACCTGCCCACCAGTAATGGGCAGGTAGGTAGGAAATGTCCAGGACGAGGTGGGGACACCTGGAGGGCTGTGCTAATTACAGGCAGCAGGTGGCATCCGACGAGCTGTGATTTATGATCTGGTCCTTCCGAGAGCTGGGGCTGAGTCCCTGCAGGGCTGGGGCCAGCAAAGCTTCATGGCTATTGCTGGGGCTCTGGGTGGGATGAGGGTACGACAGGAGCCATGGTACATCTATGTGCTCAGCCCTGTGTCGGCTCAACTTCCCACACCAACAAAGCATCCCCATGGCATCACAGAGTAGCATTTCCTTAAGACTATGGCATGAAATCACCCCCCAGAAAATTAAATTGCTTTTTGTTCCTGAGCTGGGCCTGCAGCTTGCAGGGACTGGGGGACCAGAAGGCCACCGGGAGAACAAGAGGGTCATGGTGAGCACAGGTGGGTGCTCAGAGCTATTTGCAAGCTTCATTTCTCTTTGAAGTCCCACTGCCTCATCCTCCCCGCTCCCCCAGGCCCTGGCTCCTGATTTATGGGGTTTCTGAAGCAGAGGCACCTAAATTAGCTCCCACTTCAAAGAGCCAAGAAAGGAGAAGGGCAATAGACAAATAGCCCCGCTAATTGTAGCCATTGATCAACCCCACTGCAGGATGATCAGATAAGAAGGGATGGATAAAGGGGACCATGTTCTCCCAGGGCTTGGCTTCTGCACCAGTAGCCCCAACAATTTGTCACAATGACTCTCCAGGGCCATTTTTCAAAACATTGTTACCCCGTTGTGCAGGAGGGCATTTAGCAGCTGCTCTCTAATGAAAAGGTGGGCAAAAGGGCAGGGAATGAAACTGCAAGCAGCCCGGCCCTCCTGTTGACCTCCATCCCATGGATGGGAGACCCATGGGGAATAAGGAGATTTAGGAAACAAGCAATGGGAAACAAGGAGATTTGGGGCAAAAGGAGCCTCATCGTCTCCACCAACAAGGGCAAATACGGGCAGGCCCAGCAGTGCTTCCAGCAGCAGGAAGGCAGGAGGCAGACAGCGCTGCAGCTCCTTTGCCACCTGCCCAGTGATGTGGCACTGAGGGACGAGGGTAGTGGGCATGGTGGGGGTGATCCGAGGCTGGACTTGGCAATCTGAGAGGTCTCTGAATGGGAGCATCCTCTGGGCAGGGCCGGCACCTGGGGGCTGGGATGGAGCCACGTGACAGCGGTGGGGTTTTTAGGGCTGGCTGCCTGACCCCAGAGCAGTGTGTGGCAGCCCTGAGGAAGGCAGGAGCACAAGAGCACCTCGCCCCGTCCTGCTCACCACAGCCATGTCCCGAGCAGCTGCAGCACGGCTGGGAGAGCCTGATGGCTCAGAAGAGGAGCTGGAAGTGGGGGCAGCACCGCGAGCATGCTGCAGGCAGAAGATGTGGATTCCTAAGGGGAGGAATGCAACCGCCTGCCTGGGGGACACCGAGGAGATGAAGGTGAGGAAGAGGAGCAGGCCGGCACGCTCCAAGGCCAGGAGGATGGCAGCCAACGTGCGGGAGCGCAAGAGGATCCTGGACTACAACCAAGCCTTCAACGCCCTGCGCCTGGCCCTCAAGCATGACCTCGGAGGCAAGAGGCTCTCCAAAATCGCCACCCTCCGGAGAGCCATCCACCGCATCGCCGCTCTGTCCCTGTCCTTGCACTGCTGGCCCTGCACCCACTCCGAGTGCCGCAGGCAGGGCGTGCGGGACGGCCGCCTCCTGCCCCCCAGTGCTGTGGGTTACAGCTGCTATCCTCCTGAGAGCCAACTCCAGTGCTATGAGAGCCCGCAGGAGGATCGCCCAGCAGCCAGCCCTGTGTTTTACCCCGTGGGGAGTCAGCAGAAGCACGCAAGCAACCCTCAAGCCCTCCCTCTTGCACCGCTCCCCTGGCAGCTGGGGGGGTTGCAGAGCTCTGGCTTCCAATGCTTCCCCATCCACTGAGCCACAGAGCGGGGAGGGCGAAGCGGTGCCGGGAAGGTAACAAAGCGGGGAGTGGGATGGGACTGCGTGCGAGCAGTGGGACGTGGAGCTCAGCTGAGGTGCCGTGAGCCCAGCAAAGCCTGGAAACTCAGCTGGGAAGCGTGGAGGAGGTTGCTTTGTGCTGGAGGAAGGGCCAGCTCTGCAGTTTCTTTTCTTGTGAGGTTTCTCTGCTGGAAATTGTGACCGTTATTTATTCTCTTTTGCTTGCTTTGTGAGAAAACATGACTTAAAAACCCAGCATCGGGGCACTGGCTGTTACTGTGTGTGAGGTGGACAGATGGTGTGTGTGGATCACACTAAAGCCCCTGGCTCTGGTTCCAGCTGATGAATTAAGGGAGCAGGGGCTGGGAAAGGTTAACTCGGTTGTACTTTTAACGCTATGCCCATTGGTGCACATATTGGTACGCAGACAGATTTGTAAGCCTGGACCAGGAGGATCCTGGAATCTGCCTTTGGAAAACCCATGCTTCCTCCTGGTGACTGCAAAGTGGATCTCTGGGATGATCTGGTACCGAGCTCCTGGCTGAGACAGGGGAGGGCTCAGCCTTCAGCTCCTCGTGTGCCAGCCTTCCTCCTTTAGACCCAGGGTGGGGTGGGGGAGCTGGGAAATGAGCCTGGCAGAGGAAAGCCCGTAGCAGCCAGGAGAGAGAGCTCTCTGCTCAGCAAAGGATCCTCCTCCAAGAGCTGTCGGTGTGAGACATCTTGGCTTTCATCTCCGGCAGATGTTCCCCTTTCCAGGAGGGCTGCAGCCATGGCTGCTGGAGGAATCCTATGTCTCCCATCAGCATCCCCTGCTACGCGGCGAGGCTCTGCCTGTGTCCAGCGCTCATACACTGTGGTGTGAGCTCAGGAACACCAGGATCCAGAGATGTGAAAGCCAAACCAAACCCACGCCCACCCTAGCACTAATCCCTCTCCATCACAATTCTATTTTCAGTTTTTACCCCACATTTTGGTGTTAAAGCAAAACGGATGGAAATAAATGTTCGGAGAGATGAGAGAACAGGAAAGACAAAACACTTGAGACCATCGAGGCTCCCAGCTTCACGGTTATAAATGCGGATCCCTTTTCTGTCCGGAGGCTGCAGGGTGTGGGGTTGCCGGTGGACAGCGGCTCTTCGGGTCCCCACAGAGTGACAGCCGGAGCGGGGCGGGCACACAGGTGGCACTCCGCACCCGGGAATCCCCCGGCAAAGCGGGGAGGGAGAATTCGGAGCCGGTGGCGAAGAGCCGCCGCTTGGTGGGCCGCCAGAACCCTCCCTCCCGCCCCTCGCACCCGCTGCTGTGTCCGGGGATCCGAGCGCGGGGGGGCTCCGCGGGGCGGGACGGAACCGCGCGGAGGGTGGGTGGGTGAGTGGGAGGATCCCACGGGGGGTTTCCCTCCCGCCTCGGCCCTCCGCATCCCGGCGAGCATCCCCTCCTCGGGAGGAACCGAGCCAACCCGGGGGCGGTGCGCTGCCCCACTCCTGCCCCGCGGGCAGAGCCCCGTTGGCCCCTCCTCCGGCACGGCCTCCCGCGGGGCGCCGAGCCCCGAGCGCAGAGCGGCGGTGGCGGGGCGAGCTCCGAGCCCGCTCCGCCGGGCCATGGCGAGCGGCGACGCCGCGCCCGCGGGCTCGGGCTCCGGCTCGGGCTCGGGCACGGTGCTGCCCAGCCGCCTCCAGGAGACCGAGAAGCTGCTGGCCGCCACCGAGGGCCGGGAGGGCCTCCGGGGCTCCAAATCCTTCACGGCCGCGTTGGCCGGCGAGGCGGAGCGCAACGGGCACGGGCTCTCCTACAAGTCGGTGTCGGTCGGGCACCTGGAGGCGGCTCCGCTGTCGCCGTCCCGGCTCAGCCTGGGCAGAGCCTCCTCCACCGCCACCAGCACGGCGGCTGCCGACCAGGGCCGCCCGCGGGACTACCTGGTGCTCGCCATCTTCTCCTGCTTCTGCCCCGTTTGGCCCATCAACGTGGTGGCCCTCGTCTTCTCCATCATGGTGAGTGCGGCCCCGACGGGCGGCACCGGGCTGCGGCGCTGTCCGCGGTGCTGCGGCGGCTCGGGGCGGGGAGCGACCGGGCGGGGCTCGGGGCTCGGAGCTCGGGCTCACAGATCGGTTCTTGGGGCTCAGGGCTCGAATTTCGGGGCTCAGTGATCGGATCTCGGGGCTCGGAGCTCGGAAGGGTTGTGCTGCTGCTTCCATACCTCGACTGGGGTTCTCTGGGATGGCTCACGGGGGAATGGAGTGGGACAGCCCGGGCTGTTGGATCCGGGATTCAGGATCCGGGATTTGGGATGCGCCATGTGGGATTTGGAAATACGGGATTTGGAATTCGAAATGTGTGGTTTGGAATTTGGGACGTGGCTTCATTCAGGATGCAGGATTTGGGATGCGGTTTGAGGCACGCCCTGCCCTGACTCCATGCCCTCTCCTCTCCCGGTGGCCATGAGCAGCCCAATTCCCAGCTGGGATGGAGCAGCGAGGCACTGACGAGGTCTCTCCCTCTCTCCGCCCCTTAGCAGCCCAACCCAACCCTGCAGCACCGGGGGGACCCGGGCGGGGGGCTCGCTTCTGCCCTCAGACACTTCAAAGGGAAGAAGGCTGCACCTGCAGCTCCCACATTTGTCCCGAAAAAGCAATTTTCTCCATTAAATATCCCCCACACCTCAGCAAACACACCGACATCAGAGCAGGAGAGAAGAAAGGCAGCCGCCTCCCACTTGTCTCAGCAGAGCCTCGCGAGCACGGCCACCCCCTTCCCCTGCTGCTGCACAGCCCCCGGCCAGCCTCCCCACCAGGCGTTTGCAAAGGAGGCAAATCTCGTCTTTGAAAACGCTCAGGGAAAGCCATCCCCTGCTCTCCACCCAAAATACAGAGGCGTCATTCCCCCACAGCACAGAACCAGAGATGTGCAGCTGCCTGCAAACCTCCGTGGCACCCGGGTACCCTTCATGCTGGGGGGTGGGCAGCCTCCCTGCGGTGTGCCGACTTCCCTCTAGCTCTGCAATTGTGTTTTTTCTTTTCCTAAGTCAATGCTTTTTTTTTGCACATGAAAGCTTTGCTGGGCGATAAGCGGCAAGCAGAGAGGGAAGCAAATGAATGCTTTGTGGAGTTAGTGTCTCATAAATCATTATTTTTTTTCCAAACGCTGCACTCAGATTCCAATAGGGGCCAGGGCCGGGGAAACAAATAAGCTGCAGCCCCTGGGCCTTTCCTGCTCCTGGTGGTCGTGGGGAAATGAGCACTTGGTGGCTTTTTCACTGCTCCTGGGGTGCATCTGCTTGGAGAAGAGCCAGAGTCCCATGGGAGTGCAGAGCTCACCCAACAGCACCCAACAGCAGGAGCAGACCAAGGGGAGTGAAACACAGAGTGAGAACCCACACCGAGTAAAACAGTGTGCCCCAAACCCACACTGCTGCTAGAGAGCAGTGTGGGAGAAGTCAAACTGTGTGTTATCCATGTAAATGGTGCATTCATCCATCTCAGTCTGGTGATGATTTATACCTCCCGTGGAATGTTTTCTTCAACCAAATGCAAGCGTGGAGGATTAATGACTGATTCTGAGTAACGGGTGGCACTCAGCAGAGCACATCCAAAGCCAGTTCATAGATGGAGAGAGGCTGCAACCATTCGTCTTTCTGTCCCTGGGACTGGCACAGGGTGGCTCTCCTGATGGCACTCACCTGGCTCCATGCATTTTGCTGTGGGTCCCTTCCAGCCCCAGCTCTGTGTTGGGTTGGGTTCCCTAAAAGGTTCCCCGTGACACCGAGTCCCTTAGCACAATGCTGGCATGTTGCCCTTTGGGGCTCCTCTGCGTCTCGATTAATAAAGAAAATGGTCATGGTTTTATGGAGAATGAAAATCACAGGGTGGCTGATAGGAAGCAGCTATAATCAAACCGTTCCAATGAATAATATATGTGCAGGACCAAATGCTTGCTAAACACGCCACGCTGATGCTGATGTATTTTTCAGAATTGTTCAGGATAAACGATCACTGAACACTTCCAGAAGCTGTAGTGATAAATATGTCGAATCTGTTAGCCCATATATTTTCCTTGGAAGACAGCTAGAGCTGCAAATATGTTTCACCGCAATCTAACCCACACCCTGCAGAAACATTACACTTGGTTACAAACATCTGAGCCTATAAAAATCCCAAATGCCGGGAGCTGTCAGCGAGCAGCTCAGGGACCCCATTTATCCCTGCATGGCTGTGTTCTCCCCTGTCCCTCTGCACCATCCCATGGGGCTTCATTTCCTCCCCTCCTGCTCTGCAATGCAAACAAGCTCTTGGCTGTGTACTGCTGATTTTGGGGGTTGTCCCAGGTGGGGCTGTAGGGAACCAAAGGGAGCGAGGTCTTGAGCCCAACACCAGTGCAATGGTTTGGCCATGTGATGCCAGATCGCCGTTTATGGGGTGATACAAGCTGAGGGCATTGTAGGTAATGGAGTTGCATGGAGTTGGAGCTGTGCTGGCTCTCCCAGCTGCTCATTTTCTTTTGTTTTCAATACAAGAAAGCTCACACATGGCGCAGTGCATCTGAGATGCACATTTTTGGAAAGGAAAGTGCAATTGTTTGATACTTTTTCATCCTTGATTCTTAATTCTTCTTTGCCCATGTTGCTTCTCTCCCCTATGCCTTTTCCCCACTCCAAGCCCACCCCAAACAACTGAGATCACTACCAATGGGCCTTACAGCTCCTTATCCTATTTTCCTCCCTCCCAAACCTTTCTCAGCTGGTTCCACTGAAGGATCCAGCTCCAGCTCTCAGGGCACCCTCCATCCCCTATGGACCCCAGGCCACCAGTGACTGCCTTCCCCATCCCACCCCCCAGTTAATGAATCACTTTGGGGACCCAAGTCCCAAATCCCAGTTGTTTATTTTTCCATAAAAGCTCCAGAGAGGGGTGGTTGTTGCTGGTCAATGCCTCTCATCCCAGGCCAGGGACCTCTCACCCAAATGCAGACCTGAACCCATTCATCACCATCCTACCCTTGGGGGACAGGGGACAACCAATCGGCCAAGATCCAATCCATGTGCCTCGGTGGCACAGCTGCTGAATTTTGGGGCTGCAGTCTCTCTCAGGAGCCTCTCTCTATGCTTCCCCCCAGTCGCGGAACAGCGGGCAGCAGGGGGATGTGGATGGAGCCCGGCGCCTGGGCCGCATGGCCCGCCTGCTCAGCATCGTCTCCATCGTGCTGGGGACCATCATCATCGTGCTCTACGTCTCGCTCAGCGTTCGAGGTAACACCTCCTTCTCGTTTCCCCTGCTCAAGCAGTGACCTCTCCTTTTTTCCCCTGTCTGTGGGGCTCCGTGGGCAGTTTATGGGACACTCCTGCCCCTAGGACGCATCATTCCCACCCAGCACGAGGCAGTGAGCACTGCTATGCTGTGCTGATATGTCCACCACATGCAATATGTCCCAGAGAAGGGAATGCTTGCAGCAGGAATAGGACCAGAATTTGAGGTCCTCCTCTGCTATCCCATATAAGATCCCCCAGGCAAAAAGTATTTTGGCTATAACCCAAGGACTTACCTTAGTGAGGCTGAGGTGGGTTTCTCTGATAGGATAAAAGCAAAGGGACTGAGGCCACAAGTCAGCCTGCCCAGTGGTGCCATCGCTGGGTGTGTGGGGATCTTCCCAACCACAAAGCCACCTTCTCAGAGCACTTGGGGACATGGGAATGTCACATCTCGCCCATTCCATGGCCCAAACCCCAAAGGCATCAGGGGCACCTCTGCTGGAAGTTGCCCTGAAACCCTCTTTCTGTTTTCCAGTTTCCTAGAAGACGTAGCATGCAAATACCTCGAAGAGGAGGAAGACAGCGCTCCTTTTGGGGTTTTTTTTACTTTCAGCCTTGCAACAAAAACTTGTGACAGCGGAGCCCATCTGGAGGAACGTGCGTGGCTGCTCCACCGCCTTCTGGGGACAAGAGGGGATGGACACACGGCAAGGGGACAAGGGACAAGAACTGGATGTGAGCAGAGAGGAGAAGGGGAAATCCACTACCTCATTCCCCTCCAACAGGGCGGGGAGACCACGCTGGGGGATGGACAGGAGGAGGAGGAGGAGGGAGATTCCAGACCGAAGCTTGTTTGAAGGAAAACCTAAGGGTGGACCGCGGCATTTTGAGGAATCCTCCTAAGGACCTTTGCACTGTCGTTTTGGGGGGGTTTGTTGCTTTTTAAATCATCGAATTCTGTCTCTGCAAAAACAAACAAACAACAGAAAAAAAAAAAAAAACACCCAAAAGCTCAAACTGCCACCAGGAGCGGAGCGGTGTTCCATGCATGAGGAGGGCGAGCTGCAGAGCGCGGCGGTGCTCGGAGATGCGGTGGGTGCTTTTGTATTTTTGATGGGGAAAACAAACAAAAAAAAGACAAACAAAAAAGAGACATTGACCATTTGCATGCCTTTGGGAATGTTCTCCCTGTCTGCTCGTCCATCCACGCCCCTTCATCACTCGCAGATGTCAGGGCTGGCGGAGCAGGGCGCTGCTGCATGGGAGCGCAGCGCTAACGGAAGGGATCACGCTTTCTCTGTGCAACCACACGTTTCCTTCTCCATGCACCCAAAGCGAGGTTAATGCCACTGGCACTGAGCACAGCTCCTGGTTAACCCACAGCAGCGGCACTGAGGAGCAGAGCCCTCCTACCTGCTGAGTCGTGTTCATCACACAAGAGCTGCAGCAAGATCCGGCCCTATGGCCGTGCTCATCTCCCCTCGCCTCTTCGGCTCCAACTGAGGGCTCCAGGGGACCTTTAGAGGGATGGAGGAGTTCAGAGTTGTGCTCTTGTCATTACCCATCTTCTGCTCCTTGGACATCTCCAGCACCACTGGAGCGTGCTGGGCTCGGGTCCATGAGTATTATTATTTTTTAACATTTTGTATTTAAAAACATGTAAAGAATGCTGACTTTTTGCTCCCCATGATCGTCCCAAGCCCCGCTGCTCCCAGCCAAGTCTTCCACGCCATGCAGCCCCATCCGACCTCTCTGTTCCCACTGTGGGCTGATGCTGGTGCTGGCATTTCATTCGGCTGTGCAGACTGAGCAAGGTTCCTGTTGCTGTACGTTTGCAGATGGCTCCTGGCTGTGCCCATTGGCTTTGCATTGGCCAAGCCTTTCTTTTAGCAAAACTTTGCTGGTGCAATTCCAAATTACAGACGTGGGAGCTGCACCCACAGCCTGCCCTGGGACGGTGGGGTGTTTTGGGGGCACCCTACCTGGAAGATCCACAAACCAAACCCAACATGTCCAAGAGCTCTGTCCATCTGGGAGCTGTTGTACACTGTGGTGCACCAAGAGGAGCCCCCGAGCATCCCTGTGCTTGCATCCTTCCCAAACTGGTGAGCGTGGGGCACATGGGAAGGCAGTGGGGAGAGCTGCTGTGCCATAAATCCTTGAACAATAGGGATGTAGATGGGATTGTTCTCTTGTCACTTGTTTAGCTGCTCTTTGTTACACGGTTTCCTTTGGGTAGAGGTAATCTGAACCCACGGAATAGGAGAGCCAAATTCCTGCGCCCACCGTTATGTTTTTCTTTACATCCAAAAGGGGTGAAGGGACTCAGAGCAATAGCACGGTACAACAGCACTTTCCTGGGCTGCCTCCCCACCCGTCCCTTTGCCTGCGTTTTATTGCAAACTGTGAGCTTCTGAAAACGGACCAAATTCAACTCCTGCGTTTGCAACTCATTCCTTGCACACTCAGGGCTGGAGAAGCTCTGTGCTTGGCTGTGTGCAGAGCCCACTGACACCTGATCCCCTGTCCCTCTTGGAGGGGGGATCCCCGAGGATGAGATGGGTCAGCACGTGGGGGAAACTGCAGCACTTGAGAGCACCAAATGGAGGATGGAACGCTGCCCTGGCATTACACAAAGCCTTCCAGCTCACGGCCTGAAGTGCTTTGCCACGGCTGCAGCCCCGCGGCGAGGGCTGCGCTATTCTCATCGCACAGATGGCAAAGTTGCTCCAAGTCACGTGTGCCAGCAGCTCAGAAAAGAAAACAGTTCTTTCTCCTCCTCAACATAAGTAGGAGGGAATGCATCCGTCCTTTGGATCTGATGCTTCCGGAGGGCTCTTTGCAAGCCAGGACCACCTCGAGGATATACAGAGCAGGACCGGAGGGGCAGCAGAGGCACCAGAAGCCATCTGAGTGCAGGAGAGAGCAACAACTTCCCAATAAAAAAAAACCCCAAAACCATAAAACACAAAGACCCCTCAACTCCTTCCCCTTTTTTCATCTCCTTTCTGGCTGGATACAACTGCGCTGCCCTGCACTCTTCAGTACATCTCTGTGCTCCCCATCCCACGCTTAGACACAGTGGAACATCTCTACAGCCAGACGAAATGTTTTCCTTCCTTGCAACCCACCTCCTGTGCTGTACCAGAAGGCTCCCAGGACCTACCAGACCCTTTCCCCACTCTCCATTGAGCTCCTGGTGCGTTCTGCAGCCCAATCCTGCACACAGGACTCTGCAGGAGCTGATCTCTGCAGCACTGTGGTTTCAGCCAGGCTCTTTGTGGGATGCAGTGACCGTGGGGCAGAAGGGATGCACAGCACTCAGTGTCCAACTGATGACTGCTGGTGGAGAGGACCACGAGGGTTTTAGCATAAAGGGAAGAAAACGACAGAAGAGCTTTCCCAGTTTGCTGCATTGGTGATGATTTCCCTTTTTCTAATCATTATTTCCCTGCTTTCCAGTTGCTGCCAATTAAACACCAACCTCACTCCTGTTCAGTCCAAGCCCAGGATGGGGCTGAGCCACCCCTATGAGCTGCTCCCATCCCCGGTACCCCCAGCCCCATCCCAGCACTTGGCCGCTCATCGCTGCCCAACATGAACTGATTGCAGATTGAATGCCAGTTATTTTCTTTCCGCTTGCACTCTTCCATTTTGGCAAAGCCAAATTTGGCAAAGCTAAAATCTCCCATGCTTGGGGACAAGCCCAAGGGGTGAGGGAGGGAGGGAGGGAGGGAGGGAGGGAGGGAGGGGAGCAGCCTTTTCAAAGCAAGGGGTGTCCCAGGGCACAGCCCCAATCCTCAGAGCCCAGCTGGAGGAGCGCTCAGCGATGCCATGGACACTCCAGGAATCTCCTTGCTGGTCGATGTTTCTTTTTCTGCGGGATGATATGGTGTACCTTATATACTTCCTTTGTATTTCTTGGCATGAGAAAAGAATTAAAATGTAACATGCATGGTCAAAGCCAGACTTGCTTCTTCTGTCTAAATGAGAACAATATATCAAATTCAAACTGCTCATTTAATTATTGCTCCCCATTCCGAAAGCAATGCAGCATTTTGGCTGTGGTGGCACTGCCACCAGACCTCACCTCTGCAGCTCTGCATTCTGCACAGCCAATGAGGAGAGAGCACAGACACATTCCAAACCCAAATCCTCAAATCATTGATCAAAACCACAGATCTCCTGAATGGCAACCACCCTGAGCAGCCTCCTCCATCTCCTCACTCCTATCCCAAATGGTGGCTGAAGGAAGGAGCCCGACAAAGCTTTGGGCTGTCGGTAGGCAGGGGTAGGACCAAAACCTCCTTTTCTTTCTCAAAAGACAAAAGCTACAGTTGTGGTTTGGGGACCCATCACCCACACGAACACTCAGGCAGCACTCAGACCAGACCAGCCTTCTCCATGCCCTTCCCCTTTATCACAGCACCATCTCCCACTGGGCTCTGCACCATGCTAAGACATTTTGAACCCTGTTTCTTTGCCACGTCCAGAATTTCCCCAGTGTGAATCCTATCACCCACAGCACAGAGTGCTCCCTGTGCCAGGCACAGTCCTGGAGCAGTGAGCAGATGGAGCTCCAGACCTCAGAGGTGGGAGCTGATGGCCTCTGCTCCGCTGTTTTGCTAAGGGGAGGGCAGCGCCAAGTGCTTTCGCTCCTGTTTTATTAATACTCTGCTCTGATGGCTCATGTATAATAGATAGGAGAAGGAACAGCGAAAGGTTTACATCCCATTTCCTTGTGGATATGGTTCTTGCTGAGCACCAAAGGCTCTCCATTCACCTCTAATAAAGTTTGTGTGATGTTTGGGGGTTTGGGTGAAGGTCACAAAGTCGGTCACCACTTCCCCAGCCGCTTCCCATGGGAGCTCCCAATGGAACACAGGGAGACGTCGGGATTTGCTCTGGCACCCATAACTCCACACTCAGCCCTTTCCTTCTGCTGGCTGCTGCCAAATCTCCAGGTTTCCTAAAATAGAGCTGTGGGGATTCTCCCTGAGCTGAGCACAGAGATGTGACGACCAGTAGCCCTCATTGCCTCCACTCTGCAGGGCGGTTGGAGCCACCGAAGGACTCCTTACCTTATGAAGCTGCAACAGAGGGGGGAACAGAGCCTTCCCAGCAAAACACCTCCTCCTGCCGAGCTTGTAGGGGTGGCTGGCTATAGCCTGTGGGTCCTAAGGAATTTCTCCCATTATTTGGTCTCAGGTGCCATTCCTCAGAGCCCATTTGTTATATCTTTCCCAGCTCTGAACACCCAAACCCATGCGGCAGCATCCCTCCTTCCCATTCCTCCCCCTCCTCCCACAGCAACGAAGAGCTGAAGTATTCCTGGATGAGAACAGATGAACTCATTCATCCCCCAAATGTGAGCTTTGTTTTTCCTTTTTACATTTCCAAGCCAGAATTGAGGTTGGAAAGTCTTCAAATTCCCCCAAACATGGGGAAACCCAGGAATAGCATCTCGCTGTCCCTTTGCCCTGCTTCAGGTGCACCATGGGCTGAGCGCTGATTTGGGACAGGCATCGCTGGGGGCTGGCAGCCCCCTCCACCCCTTGACATAAGGTTGTCATAGACTGACTCACCACCGCACCTCAGTGATGGCTGTGGGTAAATTTAGCTCTGGTGACACACGCCTGACCCAGAGGGAACTCCTCTTATAGCACAGAGGGAAACCGCCCGCGTCCCAGCGCTGTGCCACCGGAGCACGGGGACGCACCGCCCCACCTCACACCTGCGCTGATGACACGGCCTGATGCTGCACAGTTACCCTGGAATGGAATTAATTTTCGTGCTGTCGCCGCTCAGCCCTTTTTTGGGGCTCCTCACAGTTCCTTTTTTTCCACCTGCGCTGTTTGCAGAGCTCCGAGAGCAGGCAGCCGTACGAATGTGATGGCTCAGCAGCATGGCACCAACACAGCCAGCTCAGCACGGGGTTGGGGAGCAGCTCGGGTGCCTGGGCAGTGCTGGAAGGAAGTTTCCACTGCACAAACAGCAGCAAAATGGGACCTGCGGGGTCTGCAACGTGCAGCAAGAGGCCACCAGCTCCTCCTGGTGCATCTTCAGCAAGACGCAAGCTGAAGGATTCTAATTCTTCTTCCAAGAGCACTGCATGGGATGGGGGTGGGCAAGGAGGGTGAGAAACAGCACCCGAAGAGGTTGCAATCTGCCTTCCAGCACTGCTGAGCAGACACTGCACTGTGCATCAGGGGGTGAGGATTCATACAGACCTCAGCAGCTGTTCTGGAGAAGAAAACACAGTGAGAGGACCACAAATGCTGCTTCAAATGGTGGAGGGACTCTGACTGCAGCCAGAGCTCTCCTCCTTTACAAGCAGTGCTACCAAAAGCGGGTTAGCAAAGCCTCAGGGTCCCATTAGGAGCAAGGAATGGCAGCAGGAAATGGAGGAGCTGAGCACACACACCACGCAGTGTGCTGGGAGCTGGATGGTTAAAAATGTATCTGGAGGTTGTGCCACCATAAATTATTGACTGTACAGGGAGCTGGAAAAAAGGATTCAACCCCATTAATAATTTACCTCCTAATCCAAACGAAGATGGAATTTTATGCACCACTTATTACCAGTGCAGCAACTGGGAAAATGAATGGCGCTTCCCGTCTGCAGGCAGAACAGCCTCTGTGCATCCAGAACGATCCCAGAGTCGGCTCTCCAGGCAGGAACACCCAGAGCTGCCCTGAAGGAAGAACTGCTCACCCCCAGCAGCCTGGGGGCACACGAGGGATGCAGGGATTCATCATTACTGCACGGCCCCCCATGCAGGGGCAGCTCCCAGCCAACAGCTGCTTTGTCTGTGGACGCTGTTGAGATGCACTGGTCTGTGGCTGTGGGTTTCCACACCGCTCGCACTGAGCTCCAAGTGCAGCTTCACACCTGGCGTTGTGCTGTGAGGTGGGAGCAAAGGAACCAAACCACACAGAAGTGGATTAAAAAAAAGGAAGAGCAACACCTCCTATAGTCTGTCAGCTGCACATTGGCCCCAGTTTGGGCATGCGTTTGGGAATCCGTGTTTTAAACTATGGATAATCACAAAGCTTCATAGAGCTCACCTTGAGAGAAGCCCATTGTGGCACAAAAGCAGAGAACAAACCCTTGTGTACATTCAGGGTCAATCCCAAACTGCAGAGATGAGCTCTGCAATGTCTGCATCTTCACTGGAGCCGGGGAGGGAGAAGTTGCCCCGGGGAAAGAACCAAGCACCCTGCTTAGAGTTCTCATTTATTATTAAATTACATATCAAAGCTCCGTAATTACATCCAGAGAATGCACAATAGGTGAAAAGTAATTACAGATACAGTAAGTTTCAAGCAGCTCTGTGAAAAGCAAAAAGAATCAGAAAGTGCAATCAGAAATGAACTTACTGAAGTCCGGACTGGGATGTTTTGGCAGAAAGGTTTTGTTGGTGACGGTGGTTTCGTTTTGAGGGAATGTTGATTTAACCCACTTTCCTCACTCTGCAGGGCGCAGAGGACAACCAAGAGCTGAGCACAGCGCTGGGTTCGTGCATCCAGCACACACAGATCCCAGGATTCCTGATGTCACCCAGAAAAGGGCTCAGTTCAGTCCCGCTGTGCTCCCCTTGGCTGTGCATTGCCAAATAGGCCTGCCGTTCTGAGGGCTGCTGTAATCCAGCACTCTTAGAAGGAGTTTCAGAATGATTTCTTCCTGTCGCCCCTCCTGTCTGCTTCACATGAAAGGTTTTTGGGAAAAAAAACAAAAACCTAAGAAAAAGTTACGCATGGAATGATCTCAGCAAACAAGCTGCTGGATGCGGGGAGACCCGATGAACCCAACTGAACAGGAGTTCCTCAGCTGGGAATGGCAGAGCAGTTTTGGTAATGTGGCTCCTGGAAGGGTCAGCACAGACCTGGAACTTTCACACCACGTACAAACACTTCTGCTCTTTTATTTTCAGCGCCCTGTGAGGAACTGATTCTTCTCACAGCAGCCTTAAGACCTTCAAAAGAGAGAACTTTCAGAACTACGAAAGGCTCTGCTTGATCAGTGTAACGAACCCAGCAGGAGCTTACAGCATGCTGATACCCAAAGCTCATGAGCTCAGCATTGACCACAAGCACCCACTGTGCCTTCCCACAGCAGCAGAAACCCCCCGTCCTCGGTTCTGCCACAGCAATGCTCAGTGCTGAGCAAACACACAGCCAGCAAACGGAGCAGGAGGATCAGAAGCGGCGCGGACACGAGCACTGGGGTCAGCCTGAGGGACCAGAAGTTACCAGCAGGACCTGGCTGTGTTCCTACATTGCAACTCTGCTGGGAACTCCAGGAATAAAAACTGTTTAACATCACATTTTCCTAAAGATTAAGAAGAACTGCATGGAAGGACCATAGCCAGCATTTCCAGTCAAGCTTTATCAGAGATAATTCAGCATATTTGTCTCCTACTAAAATAAATCAGTTCCTCCGAAGCATCTTTATAACATCAATCCTGTTGACACATTTGTTATAATTACATACTTTCCATAGCAGCTTTTTCACACAATAAGATTAAATATATGCACCAAATCATCAATTAAGTCCAGTAAAAGACGGGTTACCAGATTAAGGAAATGAATTTATTTCTGTTGCTGCAGATCTGAGTGCCCTCTATAGAGCAGCCAAATCCTACAGATCCTAAGCAGGTGCACGGCTGCCAGCCGGGGTCCTGCCTGGGGTGGGATGGGGGAGATAAGGGCTGATCTCCCAGCACACAGCTTCATTAATGACCTCCCTTTATCCATCAAGGTTTTTCATAAACCCCTTTAATAAACGCTTCATATCAAACCAGGAACATTCCCAGATCAACCAAATTTATTTACATGTATTAATTCCAAATGCTTTCTAAGGCCGATCAGAAGCCCTTGCAGACCTTTTAGCACAAAGTCATTACCCTGCAAACAAGCCTTCCAACCCATATAAACGTTTCAGGGGCAGCAGGCACAAACCCCAACCCCAGCCAGACACAAGAGAAGCACTACAGCACTGCGACTACCCCACGAGGCTTTGCTCCATAGAGGACAACCTGGAGGCTACCTGACATCCGTGGCACACGTGGAATCTCTCAGGAATGCTGTCAGAGAGCTGATGGAGCTCCTAAGGCATTCCAGTGCTTCAGCTGGGATTCGCTGGGTTATCACACAACGGATGGAGAAAAAGCAGTTGAAAGAGCAGAAAGAAAAAAACCATCGTTTGTGGTTCTGCAACATCAAAGCCCTTCCTGCCATCAGTCATCAATGCAAAACACCAGGGTTTGTGTGCCTGGATGAGGAGAACTTCCCCAGGTAACAGTAAATAAAACTTGGTTTGCTATTTTACATTCAACTCTTCACCAGGAGGAGGTGTGTCCAAAACTTCTGCACTCAGATGCATTTGCCTCAGGTAGAACCATCATCATTTTCACTTCCAATTGACAGTGTAGATTATATCTTACTTACAGTGTAAAAATATTAATGCTATTAGAATAACTTTATGTAAATTACAATATACACTTCTCAGTCGTTGTCTTTATAAAGACCTCCATGATGTCAGCCAAAATCCAAGTACTGACACCCAAAGGCTGCTCTTAGGTGAACTCACGTTTGGTCACTTTTCAGATGACTGAACACTACGGTAAGGAGCTGCGAGGGCACTGTGCTCCCTTTTTACAGAAGAGGACCTGTCCGTCCCTTTAAAGCCACAAGAAACCTTATCACTGTTCCTCAGAGGGCAGTTTATTCATTTTCTGTGCAAAAAAGCGAATGGAGCAATCCTTGTCTTCTTTGAGGAGTTTGTGTGAAGCACAGTTTTCACAGCACAAACGATGTAGAAATAACTATTACCTCAACCATGAGTTAAAAAGAATTACAGAACGTGTATCTAGTAGTGAAGCAACCTGATGGCTTAAAGCTGCAATATTCTTCTGGTAGGACAACGGTGCCCAGAAGTGCCTGCAGGCAAAGCAGGGTTCCTGCAGTTCCCACCTGCTGGCCAGCAATGCACCTCCCAGCACCACTGGGCACAGGAGCTGCTCTACTGCTGTTGTTAAGTGGCTGTATTTACTTACCTTGCAATGAGAAAGGGGCTAAAGGAGGAAAAACTTAAAAACAAAACAAAACGCCCCCAACAAATTTAACCAAAGGAAGATGTATGGCAGGGAAGGAGAAACACTGCAGCTTCAACCCCAAACCAGTGTTGCAGTCTATCATCATCAACTCTAGACATCATGCTGACGGTCCCAGGCAGGGGGAGCAGGCTGATGGAAGTCCATCTCTTCCCCCGCTCGCTTTTCCTTGGCTGGGGGAGGGATGGTGGTGATGAGTTTAGCAGAGTCCACGGGGGAACATCCATCAATGGAAGGCAAAGAGCAGCAGTAGGATGGTGCAGATGCCAATGATGCTGCCCAAGATGAACGAATCCCGTCGTTTCCGAAGGTTGATCCTCTGGATCAGGCTGTTCACTGCTGGGAACCGGTCTTTAAGCAGGGTGAGTCAAGGTCACACCAAAAACACAGCCACTTATTGAACCAGCCCCAAATGCTGTACCTGCAAGTCAGCAATGCCACGAGGTACAGAACTACCCCCAAGCTGGAGAAAGAAGATGCAATCAGAAAGCCAACAAGATGAGCAGGATTACAACTGTACTTTGCTAATAAGGCAGAGAAACTGTGACCTAATGATCAGAGGAAAGAGTGAATGGAACAGGTTAGAGTTCACATGTACACAGAACTCAGTAGTTGATTACCTAAATTACCAGTGCTTGGTGTCATCTCCACTATGAGGCTTTTTTACTCTTAATGAGTATGTTTAAATGGAAAAATAAAAAGGGGGGGAGGAGGGGGGTGAAATTTTGGTGATGTTCATTTAATGGAATAGTTACTGGCTAAGGGAACAAGCAAAGGCATTTGACAGAGAAGCATTCATGTTGCATGAATATGCACTAATCCCTGCACAGCACATGAAGAACTCCTCCTACTGTCAAATCATACTAATGTCAATCTATCCTAAGCTAAGAAACCAAAATCTTAACATCTGCATGCTTGTGACAGACAGAAGGATCCTCAGGTGATGAATACTGAGCTATAAATGATACCAAACAGCAGCAGGTGCTCCGACCTTGAAAGCCAAAACCAACACATAGAGTTGGAAAGGTAATAAATGCTGTTATAGGTCTCTACGTGAAAAATGTAGACATGGGTCTATAGGCAGGGTTCAGAGTTGAATAAAACCAATTTGCTCATCACATCTGCCAGTTAGATTAAAAAAACAACCACAACCCAACAAGACACCGTAGGTTATGCAGCTGTTGGCATCCCAAAGCATTTTGATCCCTGAATCAATGGCATCCTGAAAAGAAGTTACTGTGCTTCTTTCCTAAGCATTGGCAGCACAGTTTTCTTAAGGAAGGATACTAGCCAAGGTATTCATCTTGCTCTGTATTGACTTCAACATCCCTCTCTGCGAAGTCATATTTTCTTTCGTTGCCATGGCAATGCTGGAAAAAGAAAAGAGTGGATCGAGTTGCTGGTGCTAAGAATAATCCACAGTTAAAACAACAGGAAAGCGAGCAGGCAACACCTCTCTGCAGAACAATGAATGAGGTGAAGCAATGTGAATGAAGCAACATTTGGTTCCATTAATCTCTCTCTTTTACCCTTACATGATTTCTTCTTGTAGAAGCCATTAACAACTGAAGACGACTCTTTGAACAAGGATTTGGTGCACCTCCACCCCCAGTAAGAAATGAGTTCCATTCCCAGCAGCCTAAAGGTGCCCTGCCAGACTACACTGTAAACTGGGAAGCTTGCTGAATCAAACAGATCCCAGCTCCAGCTGAGCACAAAAGCTTGGGTTCTTCTGATTCGTGTCCCACAAAGTCCAACATTGCTGTTTTCTACAAGCTGGTGTATCACTGAACTCTACCAAATGACACTGCCATCGCAGCAGTAAAAAAATCACATTTTTGACTCTCACTCCTAATTAATGTCACACTAGGAAATACAGTTTCCATACTGCTTCTTCAGTAAGACTTGGTCGACCCAGACGCGCTCGGTTCAAATATCAGAGCACAGTACAAGTGAATATAAAATCAATTCCAAGTACAAAACATTCTGCAAGTTGGAGAGCAGCAACTATTCTCTTTAAATGATCAAGCATGTAAAAGAAGATTTTGGAGAAATACTCAGCTGACAATTTTTCTTTTTTTTTGAACCTGAAGCATCTCCTCAGCCCATAAAACCAACAGCTCTACCATAGACAACAGAAGGGCCGGCTGCTACGTGCAGTCCCAGTGATGCCCCATGCAGCCACACCGAATGCAAGAGCTCTGTCTTGACAAGCACTCATTGACATATAGAGGTACATAAGAGTTTAGAGTCAGGAGCTGCAGTGCTTAAGAAGGAAGAGTTTGAGGAATGCAGCTCTCCTTGGCTGGTGTGAACTGCAAAAAGAAGAAGTAGAACATCCATAGATGCTGTGGGGTTACAACTCAGAAGATGACATTTGCTACTGACGACACGTGTGTGATTAACAATGATTAAAAGGAGTTCCTGGCTAAGTTTCTAAGCATTAAATATGGAGGGAAACTGTTCTGGGAGAATGAAAGTTAACTGGAACATCATGATACAACAGGGAAATAGGAGGGAGCTAAGGCTGCAATGCGATAGGAAAGTGAACAGATAGGAGAAAGCATCCTTTACCAAAGACAGACATCCAAACTTACAGGAGCATCTTCTGCTTGCTCACTCTCAGTGCCTGAATCATCCCACGTACCACTGCCTTCTCCACCAGGGCACTGCTGCCAGCCACAACATCTGGCAAATCCAGCAGAGCCGAGCCCAACAGTGGCCCTTTCAGACCTACAGCACAAGGTCACTGCCACAGCTGAGAGACACCTTAAGGAAACAGCCTGGATCAATGAGCCCTAAGTATGTCTGCAGCACTAAGTTCATTCGGGCTCCCTTCCATTGTATCTGCCAACTCCACCTCCAGGAGACCTTCAGGCAGCATCTCTTGCCTTCCCACTGTGTGCCAGCCAAAACTGGGAAGAAACTAACAGCCCAAAAACATAAGAGGAAAAAATCTGCATCCCTCTCTTTAGTTGGAGGATGCCTTTTCCAGCCCCCTTTCTGCAGTTTGAGATGTATTTCAAAACAAAACAGAACAAACAAACAGAACTCTGACACAATGGATGCTCCTGGGCATACTAAGATCGACCTTCATGCACTTGATGGCTTTGAGTTGTTTCATGCAGTGTCTGATCAGCACAAGGTGAAACTGGAGCTGTGTGGAAGCAGCAGGGCCTCCTTGGGGTTCAGGAGGAGGTGCCCATCCATCAACCTGCGCTGCTCTTCTGTGCAAGCAGAACTCACCAAAGCAGCTCCTCTTGCTTTGTACAGGTACAGGCATTAAGCAAAGCCTGTTTGTTGCTGTGGATCCACCAACTCACCTGCTTTGTTGACACAACTGATCTGTGTGATAACATGGAAGAGTCATTTTAGGACTCAAATTACAACTCAGACAGAAAGCATTGTTCTTCATGCACTGATCACCCAAAATATTGCCCGGTTTACCTGAGCCTTTGTACTTGTGAACCTGAGCCTACTGCATTTAAGCCCCACCACAATGGCAATGCACAGCCTCTGGGAACCAGTCCTTCTGTTTCTGCACTCTCAAGCATGTAGGCATCCTCATACTCTTCATTAAACAGCTCTGCTTCCATTCCCACCCTCAGCATATGCTCGTTAACTCACTGTTATCATTTGTTTACTGACAAATGTCTTTTTTAATTAAAAAAAATGAATCCTGTTCCTGTTCACAGCATTGGTCCCGTTTGGTCACTTGACGCAGCAATCTCTCCAGATGAAGAATTACTTTTTCTTCCATTTTGAGACTTCTAGCCAACGTTTATGACATAAGATTGAATCCTTCCTTCAGGAATCCACCTGCTCCCTGGTAGATCCAATTCTCAAACTCACTCAGCAGAGCGACACAGAATTAAGGCTTAAAAGTGCACTTTTCTTCCCAACAAAACGCTGATCATTTCTCAGGGCATTCTTGGAGATGATGAACGTTGATCCTCCAGCTTTCCCAAGCTCCCACAGGAAGTTTGGTTCTCAATTGTTCCTGACTGCTGATTACCAATAAGACATCTCTGCTAAGCCCACGTTACAGGAGTGGCAGCATTGATGAAAACTAAGAATTAATATCAGGACTGCACTACTTCATACATCTCCCCATGCCACAGTGCTCACTGCAGCACGACTTTTCTCAGTGCAGCACTGCACTGAGGCAGCAGGGATGGCTGGGTACCTTTACCCCACGTAGCAGCCGTTCAGATGCAGTGTATCAGCCAACCAGATCTTCCAAAAATCAGCTCCTTGTTTCACTTATTCACACAGCTCAGTCCCATCTGTATGAGTGCAGAACTAAGACAAAGCTCTGAAGGAACAAGACATGCTTTTAAAAATAAAATAACTCATGTGCTAGGGAAGTTCTGCTTCACTTTGTGCTTCATGAATCATGCTTGCTTATTGAAATGCATGACAACATCTGTGACTGAGGGAATGGACTCAGTGACTGTGCATAGAAATGCAAGCTCTGCTGCTAAATCGATAACAATTATGACTACATTGCTTGTTCTTTGTGTACACATATACACACACTTACAGGCATATCCATACACACACATATCCTTTCCAACTTCACTACACATCATCGTGTCTTCTGCTGAAGGCTCAGATGAAAACCTAGGAAATGTTCCCCCAGAAATGAGTGTGACTTCACCCAGATCCTGCAGGCTCCCCTGAGCAGAGCTACGACTCAAAATCCAACTCCTACCTCCCCACCCTGTGAAGCCAGGACTTAACACTAGACAATTTTGCCCTTTTATTAAATCTTAATTGCTACCCAGAGGAATGCCCCCTGTATATACACACATTTTCTACCTAGTTATTCAATCTATGGGTTTGGTCAAAGCAAAAATGCTCGAGTCCATCCTGCCAATAGACAAAGCCTGACAAGTGAGCCTGAATCAGGCACCAGAAGGAATATTACAATGAATTCCTAGCAGCTGGTCACACTGTGCATGCCAAACTGTAGCAAATTGTCAAAGTGAACCAACCTAAAAATATAAGCTGTTGGAAAACAAGAAATAAATCATTTGCTATTCTGAGAAAGCGATAATGTTTGAAAATGAAAACCTGAGAACACCAAACATATTAAGCAGAATCTATGCTTATATTTAAATATATCCAAGACAAGTGAACACAGTTCCAAAGGAACTGCAGTACAAACTATCACTTCCCACTCCTTTCTGGAAAGAAATATGCTGCAGTTAACAGCCATGTCACATAATTCATTTAAAAATCTCATTATAAGGTTCATGCTAACACAACATCTGGAACGACAGCTGCAGCACCTATGCATCCTCTTGCAGGTCTGCTTGCTCCATAGAAGAACCACACACAATGCCCCTCTTCAGTGCACTGCAAGTCAGAGCAGGAATATCACACCTGGACACCTCCAGCTACTGGGGGTGACAAAAAAATCACCCTGGCTTCATCAGAGACAGAACTGAATTAAGGGGATCTAAATTAACAGCAGTGTGTGATGTGTGTCGTTACCCAACTCTTTCTCTACAAAAAGAAACGTAGAACATTTTTGGCAATGGCTACAAGAAGTCTGTTTACTACAGGTAACAAATGGTGCAACAAGGAGCTCAGATCCAGCCTCCTAAAATCACAGCTCACCTGCTGGCAGAAGGAAAGCTTTCTGCACCCAGCAGTAAGGAGCTCTGAGCTGAGCCAGGCAGTTGGGTCTATCGCACGAGAAGCCACCCCTGGTTGATCCACAGTCAACCGCAGGTCTGCAGCTCACCCAAATGGAACTCCAAGCCATTTCACAGCAGGCAGGTCACCTCCTGACGATGCTGTGGCTGGGACACCACAGGGCTGGCTCACAGCTCGTCAAGGAACCCAGGCTACACACAGGTAGGTGCCCTGTTTGAGCCCCAGCTTGCAAGGCAATCCACTCAGGACTTCACTTATCTTGTACTCTCATGCTCCTCAGTGACACGTAATCAGGAGGCCAGGGGAAGAGCTCAAATAATACGAGTCATTTTGCAGGATATCAAGCTTAATAAGTCATCACTGGCTTTATAATGCTTTAGTTATGAGAATGTTTGAGCAAGGAGAGCAAGGAAGAGATCTGACAAACACTGAGTGCGCTTATGAGGTGGAAAAGTAGGGCTACAAATATGGCAATAAAGGAGAGGATGTTTAATCAGGAGAAGATGAGAACCAAAGTAAAGTGAAGACTCACAGCATCCGTGCTCAGACTGGCAATATCTTTATGAGCCTGAGGAGAGACTTCATCCACGTTCTCAGACATTACGGCAGTGACCACTTCTGGTTTGTCACAGCACATTAACGTGGTGGTTTAACACATTCTTCCACCATGTTAATTATACTGAGCCCACTGAATGTACTTAAGCTAGCCAGCCTTTAATGGACACAGAGCCTCTAATTACTCCTCTTCATCACTTATGCCAGTACATGCATTATCTGAAACCATATCTTGCTTGCTTTCTTCTTTCTTTTTTTTAAGGCAATAATCTCAGACTTAAAACCATTAAGTCAGGCACTCTGAATTATTGGTTTTCAAAATCTCAGAGTTCAATGAAAGATTGGGAAGGGCACAGATGATAAAAATAATTTGTAATGCTATGATTCTAAGATTTCTAGATCAGTTAGAAAGGCAGCACTTAAATATTCAAACCACACGAAAACCAAGGAATAAGTAACTATGCAGCAGCAACAGTCACTCCAGCCCATAAGGTCCAAGGGCCTACCAATCTCAGCTGCATACTGGGATGCTGAACACGTCCAAGGACTACAGAAAATCATGCTGCAGGAGAGTAACCCTGAGAAGAAACAGCCCCACTACTGGAATGGCCCTCAACAACTCAACCTGAGATTCCCTTTGCTCAGCCATCCTTGTTGTTGCCATAGAGGATATTCATCTTTGAACAGAAACCCAAATTTTCCAAATTAGGCTGAATAAAATATTCCGGTAACACCATTATGTCAATGTTGAATAGTAAAAATAAAACCCCACTTCACTGTAATACAAGTTGTGAACAATACAGTTATTGTATAAAGAAAGTGACTCTGAGACTTCTGGGCACAGTGCAGTGCAAATACTGATTGTACAGAAAATAATGAAAATTAGTAAATTCATCCCTACCTTATTGTTTCTTCTATCAGCCGATCTGAGCTGAAAGCCAAGAAGAAAAAACAAGGTTAAAAAAAGGAACAAGCACTCAGTACTGCTGATCGTTACACCAGTGATTTCCACGGCATAATCCTTCACAAATTCATCCCAGTAAGCCTTGTTTCAGAGCACAGTTGCTGCTCACTACAACACAGATCTGGCACACATACAGTGAGAGTTCTGGAGAAGAGACACAGAGCGTCCCCTAGAGCAGCACCTACCAACTATAAGCAAGGTAGGACCTCTGAGACCCCACGTCCAACCCAAAACCCCACCATGCTCACTGCCATGATCCCAGCACGTCTCCATGGCTCCTGAACACCTCCAGGGATGGAGACTCCACCAGAGCTGCTACTTCTGGCCCTTGAAACATGGAGGCAGCACACAGAGCGCTGCAAATATTTTGCCCAAGCTGGAGTTGGGGGACCTAACTGGGGTCAAACTCTGAGGACATTGGAACTGGAACACTTCATTCTGCTCCCAAAACAAAGCCATGCTCCAAAGAGCCAGATCAGCTGTGAGTTGATTGCTTTAATGAAGTAAAGCTGTTTTCACCCACTGTGGGGTATTTATTACCAGAGGCACAGAGAACTCAAAGACAACCCAAAGCATTTAATTGGTGCTGGAAGTCACAAGATGAATGGTTCTCAACTTACAAGGCAGTTCTCCTGACTATTGAAAAGGATGAGCTGCATATGAATTGTGTTCTGAACAACAACTGATGTGCAGGAAGGGCAGACTGAGCTAACTCATACATTCTCATTAAATAAATAGCTGCAAAACACACGGGTTTGCTGAACACATCTTCCAGCATGTCATTCCTATTGCCTCTTCTGAAGGCTCTGAGAGCACCTCCAGCACTGCACAACCTCACAGTTACAAAAAATAACAGCCAGGTTTAAGGAAGCCCAAAAGCACAGTGGGGAGCAGAGAACCAAAGCCTGACCGAGGGAGGGTGAGTGGAGGGGATGCTTACAGATGTCTGACTATCAATATTCTGTTTCACACCGATCTCACAATTATAAGGTCAAATTTTAACTACTTGACAGAATCAAAAGGCAAAACACTGACAAAGGTAACCCTGTGCATCTTACACATCCAAAACATTATGGAGCTCCTCGGAAAATCTCCATTTTATTCTTCTGCTTTCCAAGCAAAGACAACAATTCCAGTGGACATTGCCTTATGAGCATCCAAGCAAGAGATCGCTCTGGGCAACATTAATCTGCCCTGCCATATGTTTCAGTAAGCTGGGCACTTTCACCTGTCGAGACAGATGGCACTTTGACCAAGTCATTTAAAAATACTATGCAAAGGAATGCTAAAAGATGCTGAGGTCATCACCTACCGCAATAAGGGGCACAGATCCAGCAGCAGCAGTCATGCACATGAAATAATCAGGCCTCTGTGCAACTGTTATCTTCAGAAAAGACTGGGCATGCAGTTCATCATTTAAATACGTGGACAGGTAATTTTTCCTCTGGGTTAACTTCAGTAAAATAGGCTTCTGGGATAGAAGAGCTGTGTGCCCATTACACCTAGCTTTTAAAATTATTTTTCCTTCTCTTTTCTTTTTTCTTTCTTTATAGAAGCACCAATTTTACTTTGCTCTGACTGTAAGATTCAGCAATAGCCTTCGCTCCCCCAAGCTGCTCGCACCAAATCTTTTCTATTTTCACAGTCCTGAATCACCAGGCAACGTGGAGCTTTAAGGAATGCAAATGTTGCAGAGCATACTTGATACTCTAATACAACTCTGCAGGTTATGATGAAGCAAATCATACTTACACAGATATTCCCATCATAGCCGTTCCTATCTCACAAATGAAACACCACGAGAACCCCCCAAAAAACAGCAATGCTTCAGTGCCATCGAGATTCCAAAGCACTGAAGTTCTAAATATTAAGCTCTGTAAGAACTTAACTAGAAAAAGGTGAAGTGGAATTTAGTCTTCCCTGTGATAATAATTAGATATTCCAGATTTTACCAGACTCGTATCAAGCTTGATTCACTTCAATGCCAAAGAAAGAAAGAATTGTGCTGGAGGTGCATAGCTAGTACAGACACAGATGCTAGGGAAGATAAAAACTGCTGCAGAAGCCTCACTGACTGGGGCCAACACAAGAGCATGGCGTCAAACACACCAAGGGGATATGAGACCTGAGGAGAGAAAAAGAGAAGCATTCAAGGCCAGGCTGCTGAGCAACCTGGGCTTTAGGGAGGTATTCCTGCCTATTGCAGGGGGATTGGAAGTAGATCATTCAAAGGTCCCTTCCAACACAAACCATTCTATGATTCTATGAAAACATACAGCAGAGGTCTGTGCAAACAACAAAAAACTGACTCCTGTGTTGGTAGTGAAGAGCAGAAGTAGCACCTGCTATGAATACACAGCAGAGAGGAAAAAGAGTCCATTTGCCTACTAATACTCACCTTAAATTGCCAGTGAGAGAAGAGCAGGTTGGCCAAAAACAAAGACTTGGGGTGAATGGGCATTGCTAGGGACAAACATTCCAAAAGCAGAAAGGTTCCAACACCCACATAACCAGTAACAAACCCTTGGTTCGTTAACAGCAGCACCAAGCCGGGTGCTAAGGAGATGCAAGGCTTTCACACTTCCACTTGCAGTAGCCAAAATGAAATAACAGCCTACAACAACACAACAAATACCAGCACAAGTACGAGCATTATGTTCATGTATAGATTTGCCCCAAAGGAACAAACTGTTAACAGTGTAAATGTCACTGTGCCTTCAAGCTCTACGTATGTAAGCAATCTTATTTCTGTGGATCACTGTGTGACACTCAGCAATCGTGTTCAAAAAGAAAGAGGAAGAGCTGCAACATTGGAAAGGAGAAGAAAAATCATGACAGCACATCATCATGTTGCTCTTAAGTCAGTGCAAGCAGTTTGTTTGTCTAAATGAACAGAAACCACTGCTCCAGGCAGGAGGCACCAATGTAATGGTGATGGGTTTCCTTCCAGATGCTTCACAACCACCTTGTACATGTGCAAACAGCACGTAAGAGGTTAGAGACAGCACAACAACCAATCTGCAGTCCTGTGATAAAGAACTCATTAAAATCAGACTCCTAACGACATCATTAAGTAAATACCTCAACAGCGCGTTGGTTACAGCGAGGAGAGCCTTTTGGATCTGAACTAAAGCTAAGCTAACACAGCTCTGCAGCTATCTAACATCTGTAATTCTGCCTACACCAGGACTGCAAATAATAAAAAGATTTTTCTCTAAGGCTGTTTAGAAAATGATGCAAGGGATGCCGTGGCTTTGGGGTGGAGCTCCATTCAGAAGTCAGAGCACGCTGTTTGTCCGGGATCTCTAAAGGGCACAGCCCACACCTCCCCTGCACTCCATGTATTTGTCTGAGAACTATCAGCAGAGTAAAATAAACGTTTCTGCAAAAAGAGGAGTTAGCCAAGAAAGCTCTTTGGCACACAGAAGGACTACTGTGAGTGCCTGATGTCTGAGAGTCCCAGGAGGGTGAGTAACAGCAATACTCCTTCCTTTAAAGCAGATCTATAAGGAAATAAGAGGCTTCTCAATAATCTGCAATACCCAGTTTACCCAAAGAACGCAGTTAAAAACTTAAAATGAAAACAGCTCCTATCATCTAAATGAAGTGCAGCAGCTGGTTGCCTATTAGTAAGCATAAAACCAAAGTCAGGATGGCACCAAGAGCCACATAACGAAGTTTCTAGAGGCTCTCTGTCCACGGTTGGGAAAGTTCCTGGATAGATTGACCCTCCTGTGTAATTGCTCCCTATTACCCATAGGAACAAAGTTAAATGAACGGAGAGGGCAGGCCTTACTGTAAGTCATTATCAGTAACCACAGCTGTCAGAACAATTCCAGTAACTTACTAATGGGCTCTATCGGCATCTCCTTGGACCCAGCATCAGTAGTAGTGCAGTTTGCACTATTTCCTCTGGTTTATAAGATACAGTGTAAATTATACCTTTAATCAAGGGGGAAAAAAACCCCTCAAAACCAAGCAGCACCTGTAAGAGCACACAGCCTTCAGAGTCCACCACCAAGGTGACAGAAGAGAGGACACCAAGACAGCCTGTCAGCAGTGGTGTGTTGGGCACAACAAGGAGATCGATGCACCATGAAACCCAGTACTGTAACAAAAAAGGCTGTGCCACTTCTCCACCTCAACCTCTTTTCCTAAGACTGGAAAAAACTGTCCTACTACTCACACACCCATGATGGCAAAAAAGGAAAGCCAAGGAGAACACCTTCCAGAGGAGCCTGGTCACACACCTTGGTATTTAATACCTCAAGTGTCTTCTTAATTTCCAGTGAAGCTAGCACAGAAACAAAGTGAGAATTATCCCTGAGATGACAACCCAGTTTTATTTTAGTACAAAGCCTAAAATACACATTGGGTTTCTGCCTCCTAACTCTGCTGTGGTTTTGAGGTTTTTTTGGTAGGTGTAGGAAGACACACAGCCTCCATTTAGGACCTGCTCAGAGCACCTGAAGTTAGAACTACTTACCTGCTTCTTATGCTTCAGAAAAGGATTCCTGCAATTGTACAGTGAACTAAATAATGCATTTTAAAGCTCAGCAGGTGGGAGGCAATGCTTGATGTCCAGTAACCCCGGATGCTAGGACACCTGCAGTGCCTTCTGCACAGCAGCAAGGATGACGAGCACCTCATTGTGAAGCAGTGGTACAGAGGTTCAAATAATAAACTCAACAATGACACTCACACAGTAATGTAATTTTCCAAGAGATATAATATCTATTCCTGAAAAAACAGAAATAATCACTGCTTAATGTATCCATACACACACATCTACGCAAACCAACATATCTTCTGGTAATCACAACAGCAGGAGGGGTCCATTTCTCTGGAAGATGTTTGCTTCATAAAACATTTCTATAGGGAATATCTGCATTAGAATGCTGTAAGCATCAGGAGTAAACTTGTCTTAATTTTAAAACCGTTTCCTTCTCATAAATGGGGATATTAAC